TAGCGCAAATCGCGAAATTCACCGAAACCTGCGACGGATCGCGGACTCTGACACCAGCCTAAAGTGCCATCCTTTCTGTGGATCATTTTCGCAATAGATTGTTGAGCACTCTTCCCATCAAATTCATTTTCAGGCTCCTTCTCATGTGTTCCATGACGCCATCAAGAAGGGAACTGGTTTCGATGACCATGAGGTGATACTATTTAATCGGTTGGGCTTATTACATGGTTTTCTAAACATACATTTAGGTATCTCAACGGCTCGCTACGTACGGGTTGAATTCTATTGAAATTAAGCTCCGTCCTATACCAATGCTTTTGTTTATGGAAGTTATTTCACCATTTTATATTTTCCAGATATTCAGGTTAGTTCAATTTCATCTCTTCGAAGAGGATGTGGGAGTCATTGAATTCTCCTTTTCAGTGTTACTGTTTGGTATAACGATGAATATTGTTATTATGCTTCTGTTATTGTTATTATGTCAGTTTGTTCTATTATAATGGACGTTCTGCAGACGAGAGGGCAAGAAAAGCGGTAAATTGCATGGTTCATTTGGCGATGTTCTTACAGAAATCGCTCGAATTTTCGTTCTAAAGACGATCCTATACATTGCTAGTTTAGACTTCGAGCAATGGTTCACTCAAGTAGTGAAGTGGAAGTTCTAAGGAATGGTGGATTTGTAACTAGAATCGATAGTGAGCGGGTAATTAATGCTTTTCTTTGGTTCATTTGGATCGTTACTGTAGTAGGATGGTATTACTTCAGTTAGTTCCTGGTGATATTCTTTTGATTCCACCCCATGGTTGTCTCCTTCAATGTGATGCTGTTCTTATGAATGGAACTGCAATCGTCAATGAGAGTATGCTTACGGGAGAGTCAGTTCCTGTCACGAAGGTATGAGATTTGCGATGTCGTCGCTGTTGCTTTAATGTCTTTGCCTTTTGAAGTTGCTTCCATTTCTCGGTACTTGACTTTTTTTGTCCCCGCTGCGCACTGTACAAATCGGCTTCTAGTAGCACCTATTTTGATAGCTGTTAGTTAGTCATGAGTACGATATTCTGATGTCGGTCAAATATGAAGCAAAGTTGCCAAATGGTGCGGCAAAGTGGAAGAAATCAGAAAGAATTCGCGAGGATCAAGAATAGAACCGCTCTTTGTCGTATAACTTCGAATCATTACGGGTCAGATACGGAATTTGGGCCAAGATTTCCCGAGAGAATGTAAAGAGACGACAGTTGATGATAATTTCTGGAATGAATTGCATTTGCGTTGAATGAAAATCGAGATAATCATAACGGAACCGCAGAATCCCACCTGGAGTTGGTGGTGCGCTTTCTAGATCTTGATCTAACTGCGTTATAGTTGGCGCATGTATTTCGTCACTGAGATAACATATCTTGCGTCTGCACCTCCCACCGCCTCCTACAGTGCTGATTGCATTCATATTGTTGCAGACTCGCTTTATCGTGCTCATTGCCTTTAACATGCCAATGATCTCATCGCAAGACAAGGATATGTTGTTTCCTGGCTTAGCTAATCCATATGGCTAGTTTTCAGGCATAAAAGTGTCTGATCACTCAAGACGAATTGTTCACTTGCAAGTCTCAAGGTTCAAGCGGGTTGCTAATTTGCGCGGTGTGCAGCTAGACAAATGCTAACTTCTCCTCCCCCCCTGTTGGTTTTACCGAAGTATCATCAAGATTATCTTGTAAACTCTGTGTAAATGGGATTTAGTGCTTGTTCAGGTTGCTCTTACTGAAGATATTCGAGAGGAAAAGCATTTTTCTATCGAGAAACACTCCAAGCATGTACTGTTCTGTGGAACTCATGTGCTGCAGACGCGATACTTACGCCGTGGTCAGAAAGTCAAGGTGTAAAGCATTCGTTGGAAATGGTTTCCATTCTTTGGGTATTCTTTTTTGGATTACACGGAAGTTTATCGAGTCTATTAAGGGTTTTTCGCACTAGCTGATTAGAATTTTGGCAGGAATGTTCAGGCAGTAGTTTTGCGCACTGGATTTTCTACAATGAAAGGACAGCTGGTTAGGTCGATCATGTATCCGAAGCCGGTTGATTTTCGCTTTACGAAGGAGGTCTGTTTCAAGGTGACATGATTTTTTGGACCTGGGCGTTGTGTAGTGCACAAATATGCATTCGAAGGCGGTCCTTTGATCGACATGTCCTTCAACGAACTAATTTTCAATCTGTTATCATCACAAAGAAATTTAAAATTGATTTAGTTTGTTGGATTTCTTGGCTGCATTTCTGGATGCGGTTTTATCTATACCATCATCATTATGTTACTGAGAGGAAGTAGCTTGCGCCGCGTTATAATTCGGGCGTTAGATATAATCACAATCACTGTTCCTCCTGCTCTGCCCGGTGAGCCCTCTATCTTATAGATATCCACTCTTTACTAGGCCTTTTTTTCAAAACAAATTGTTCTAGCGGCTATGTCGGTCGGTATAATCAATGCACAATTGAGACTGAAAAAGAAGGAGATCTACTGCATTTCACCATCTACTATCAACACGTGTGGAGCGATTAATGTTGTAAGCTTTGAGAAAGTTTTTTTTTGACTTCTTTCTTCTTTTGCTTTGTGAGAGAATCTGGCAGAGTAATTGCTGTGGTACTCAATCGATAGGTGGGGCTTCTTATTTGAATATTTAATATAAATTTCTGAATAACGTGTATTTCAACTTATCTAGGACATGTTACTTTCAGGTTTGTTTTGACAAAACTGGCACTCTCTGACTGAGGACGGTCTGGATTTCCACATTCTCAGAGGAGTAATGCCAGCAGGCGATGCCAGCGAACCTGTTTTTACGACTGAAACAAGTCGCATGGATCGTACGGAGTTGCCGCTGGAAGGGGAACTTGTGAATGCAATCGCTACATGCCACTCTCTTACAAGGTCCTACTTGATACTTTATGGTTTTTCCACAGTCGCATTTTTATTTTTTTTCTGTTTTTTGTATCCTCGATCAGGAAATCAGTTTAGATAAGACCTCAGTGTTTCCCTAATCTGAATTTATCCTTCTTTATTTAGAATAAATGGTGTGTTGCATGGAGATCCACTGGACCTCATCCTTTTCCAGCAAACAGGATGGATTCTTGAGGAAGCTGGAGCAGATGAGGCTGATCATGACGAAACTGAGATGTACGACATGGTTCAGGTAAAGTTTTGCATCCAACGGATGTATGGTCAAACGAAATGGAGGTTTTTATCGTCATTCTGAGTTTATGCTTATATTTCATCTTGCTGCATTCAACACATTGGCAACTGGCCCACATACGCATCACATCTTTACACGGAACTCGATATATTCGATTTATTTGGCATATTTCATGTTCCAAAACTCTTCTGTCCTCGTGGGGCTTGGGAAGCAATAATATAAATTACCAGCACTTCTTGAAGGGGTAATGACGATTGTGAAGGAAGAAAATATAGGAGAAGTGCCGGGGCACAAGTACAATGGGCTACCGTCAATGTGCTAAGTTTCACTGTGATACCTATGATTTTTGACATTTTAGCCGACAGTCGTTAAGCCACCACTGCACAACAGTAAGGACGGCTGTGAGGAATACTCGGTCATCCGTCAATTCACTTTCAGGTAGTTTATTTATTTATTTAATTATTTTAGGTAGTTCTCTTCATTTGTTTCAATTCGTACCATAGAGTTTAAGATCATTGGATGTATCTTTGCGAAACTGACCTCAAATTCCTGTTTGTACTAGATTAGATCCTCCATTAGTTCATGTAGCCTTTCTAAACGCTTACATCAAAGTTTGGAGGTGTAGAGGCTTTGTATTGCTTGGAAGTTGGATACCTAGCCATACGACCCTTATTCACGAGGATCTGTTCTTTACTTATTTGCAGTTCTTCTCTTCAACGCATGTCTGTGATTGTATTCAATCCATCGAAAGACTCACGATCGATGACTCTGTACTGCAAAGGAGCACCAGAGATGGTTCATTCTTTGTGCGATCCTGCGACAGTTCCGCAAGATTACTTCGTAGGCTTTTGCTTTGCATTTTTCTTACAGTACTTCGGCTTTTTGTAAGTTACACCTAATTTTTTCAATTCTGTTGTAGGCTGTTGTGAATGAATACGCGCAGCATGGATTCCGCTTGATAGCTGTTGCGCGACGTTCTCTCAATCTGAACTTCAACAAGGCTGTTAAAGTGCCAAGAGATAAGGCACGTGATATTTTCTCTGTTCGAGTTCTGAAACTTGGGGTTTTACCGAAAGTACAAGCATGAGAAAACTAAACCTCCAGGAAG